CGGCAGCTCGCTCGGCCCCCACGAGAGCGAGTGAAAACAAACAAACAAAAAAAAGGAAAATAAAATTTTTAAAAAATGAGGGCGAGGAGGGAAGAATGAAATCCTCCACCTGCTTCACTAGAGCGGTGGTACTTTCACATTATTATAGTTTTGTCTCGACTCTGACCCAAACCATCATTTCAGTCAGCAGGTGGGTATGGCCATTGCTTTCTGATAGCTTTAGACAATCCAAGTTGGTTGAGCTATAATAAAAAGATAGTAAAGTTAGCTAATCCAAGTGAGCGAACTTAAAAAAAAAATAAACAGCAAAGCTAAGATTAATGCTCCAGTGGCAGCAGTCCCAAGAAAAATAAGCTRGTTGTGCAGTCAGGCTTCACATCACTTCAGAGTGTCCTGGTGAGTGGAATAATAGCCACTTTTCAAAGTTCTTCAAAAATTTTGAAAGGGAGCACAGTGATTCACATACAATTTTGAACTGACAGTGACCAATAAACAAACTTCCAGGACTTTACGAGAAAAGGAACTTTTCTTGTAGTGCTGTCCAAATTATGTTATTTGTAAATGAGGGAATATTGCACAGGAGAGAAGACTAATTAGAGACCTTTTGAATGTTTTGCATGTTGTACTAAATCTTGCAAGCATGTGGTAGCATGTGTGTTTGCTGAACTTTGCACTGAATTAATGATTTTCCTGTAGACTATGTGAAGCAGGGGTTACCTTTCTTTTTTTGTGGCAGTTGCTTGTTGGTACTCAGTCAGTGTGATTTTTTTTTTTCCTTTGTTCTTCCTTTTTTTTTTTTTTTTAAAAAAAAGCTCAAGATTCTGCCTGTGTCACTAATATTCCACATACCTGGTATATCAGGAGTGCTTTATGCTAAATAGCTAACAGTTATTTTAATGAGGTTTTAATGAGGAGCACGACAGTCTCATTGAGCAAGTCCTGTTTAGCAGAGACTGCCTTCCGGAGCAGGGMTGGCTTGTGAGTAGAGCTGGCTGGGTCTGACTCCGGGTGTTTGTGTCTGGGCTAGACAATTTTAAATACTTCCTGCTACGCCTGCGCATGGCCAAGTGCGTATTCTGGCAGGGTAACATGCTCATAGATCTTGAGTTTTCCTGGTGTTGGCACCCAGACTGGAGTCTCGAGAGAGCTAGTCATGAGAACACGGAGTATTTAAACGAGAAGGGTGTATTTCAGCTTATGAATGTGTTATTTTGTGGGAGCAGGATTTATTGTGACAGCAGTCTAGAAGTGCTTTGTTTAAGATCTCAACCATGGGAGAAAAAAAAAAATCATGATCCAAAAATTCACATTTGAAATATTTGTTACGATGAAAGCCATCATCTCATTATTGTATCTCTAGAATAATAAATCGACACAAAGCTGTGCTTAGCTATTTTGAAATTAACTTAACTGGAAAGGAGAGATATAAATGGTATGAGAGGGATAAGAAGGAGAGAATGTTTACAGAGGTGGCCTTCACTATCAGATTAAGCAGGAATTTGAGGGTCTCTGTAAATCGAAATTCAGTATTATGAAACAACAACTCCAGTGCAATTATTTAAAAATCATTATTTGAAAATCATATTGTTTTGAAAGGCCATTCTCAAGGTCATTGAAATACTGCTACCCTTGAAAGTAGTGGGTTTGGGGTTTTCTTTTTATTTTTTTCTCTCTGCCATTTCTGGCAAATATTCTATTTCTAGTAATATGCAGATCATAACTTTTCTTTAAAATGTGGCCTTTTTTTTTAACTTTTTGGCAGATCATGGCTCTCGCTTCCCTACTTGTCCCTGTTCTACTCTGCTTAGTACAGATTTACAAATGTTCCTAAAATAAATCTTATTTAGGTATGTGTATATCTTATTTAGTATGTGTGTACTATGTCGTTCAAAATGATTTTTAGTTTTCTGATCAAGAGAATGCTGTACTCTTTTTGTGCATGTACAATATGCAAATATAAAATTCTCACCTATGCTAGAAAAGTCGGATCAAATGGATGACCTACAGTGAGAATATCACAAACTTAGAGGTAAAGTCAAACCAAATTGCATTGAGTGAATATGTAGTTTATGTTAATCCCTGGGAGCTTATAGTATTTTCTGTGAAGAATAAGAGCGTGCTGCCAAAATGATTTTGAAAATATTATCATGAAGTGTCCAGACATGGTTTTAGGAGCTGGAGTGTAATTTATGAAGGCTTGCACACACTCTTAGCAAATGATGTCTCTTGCGCCAGAGTGAGGAAACTTGCAGGATGCAGTTTGTAAATGTTGTTATGAATTTGCTATTGCACTCAATATTGGGTCATTAATTTTTAAATTTAAATTATTAAAATTAT